AACTGACCGCATGTGAAACAAAAAATAATATTTGTTAATCAGCTGTATATTGACTAATAAGTTATTGGTAAATATACAAACGATTAACAAATATTAATAACGAAATAAGCTCTAAGTAATAAATGACCAGATTTTTTTAAAATATATTTAGATTACCAAATTATAATTCATATTTTTCATTTATTCACGACTTTTGTCCGCGACTTCGTCCGCGTGGTATAATACCTACTTTGGACTTTATAATATTAGTATGGAATAATCAAAAGAGTCTTTTTGTCGTTCATTATATTATATTATAAGAGATTACTAAACAGTCACCAAAATACATGGACCATGAACAACATAAATCATAACTCTTGGTCGACTTTTGAACTCACAGCAGTTTATTATTATTTTATTTAGTTAAAATTTCTTCAATTTAAACTAATGAAAACAACATTGGGTTTAATATGAAATGGATATGTCGTACCGTATCCAATTGGGTAAAATCGGCCCAATTAGAGGGCCAGCCCTATAATAGAAAATCGCCATTCATTTGCATGGTTAAAAGCCCAAGGCACTTGGTAACGGTCAAGGATTACGATAGGAAACACAATTATTAATTTTATTATTAGCCAAATATTCGCGATATTAGAATAAACTTGGTACAATGTCCAATATGTTTCATATCTAAGGTTTCAGTATTTTATCTCTGAAAACCTTAAGGGCGCTTGTGCACTACACTGAATTTTCAGGTCCGGCGGTCCGATTTTTTCCGGTCCGGAATGACATGAAAAACTCGGATGAGTAGCTTGTGCACTTGTCCGTTTTTTTCCTGATCGGAGCGGCGCAGTATAGGGCAGCTCTCTTTGAAGCTACACGTCACTTACGATAGGTACGATGAGATTTTTGGAACGTCGATAATTGCGTTCGAAGACGTAAAAAGGTACCTAAATTCTTTACATAAACCATAATAAATTATGGCAAGACGAAAGCATTTTTTTACTACTATCGGATGACTACTATCAGATGTAAAAACTTATACCTTTACTAATTTAGAAACAGCATTATTCACATACAATAGCTAAAAATATCTGTGACATTAGAATAAAATTACTGATAATGGGATAGTACTTGATGTTTAAATTTATAAACGTACTATTTTTTCGAAGTTTTGTAAAAACAACTTTCAGCGATTACAGAGATAGACCAATCGGTGGCGCCATTTCGTAAACAAATCGAAATTAGTGCCGTGTAAGCGGAGAATTATTATGCTAAATGAACTTTACGAGATCAGTTGACTGTATTATATATAGGCATAATTTTATACGCGTGGTGTAGTTTCTTTGAGCAGAAATATTTTTCCCTTAGAATACTTCTTTTTTTTTAATTTATTAATGACACAACCATTCATTTCAAATTTTATTAAATGCGAAAAAGACATTGAGTGTCACTTAATTACTTTTGTTTATTCTTTATTATTACTTCTGTTAAATATTTATCTATACTTATCAAATGCCTAAAAAAAATTTGATAATGACAAATTTCCAGGTAAACTTTCATCCCCTATTTTTCGCGATAAAATGTAGCCTATGTCCTTTCTTAAAGTTAAGTCTATTTACTATATTAATTTCCATTAAAATGGGTTCAGTTGTTTAGGCGTCTAAGCGTAACAACACTTATTTATCTTACCTTAAGCTATCGATACTTTTAATACGATTCTAAAATCTAGCTAAGTATCGATACTAGAACCATAAGCTGATCAAATTAGAACTATACTGAGTTTGCCAAAGCATATGCAGTGATATATACCAACTATATTAAATCATCATATAAAATATAGCATTTTATAATCTACAATAAACATCGATTATAAGTTTATTGGAAATTAACAATATCGCCGAAATAAATATCGATTCAAATCGATTATATTTTCCCAAGCCTATTCCTTATGAATTTTCCGGATCTCGGACACAGCAGTGCACAAGCGTAAACACGTTTTTCATTGCCGCCATCACGGACCTGAAAAAACCGGTCCGGAATAGAGAAAAGTAAAATTCCTGACAGTGCACAAGCGTGCATTACCTACATATGGCCTGACATATCGGACCTGAAAAAATCGGACCGCCGGACATGAAAATTCACTGTAGTGCACAAGCGCCCTAAAGCTAATTTGAAATAGAATTGGAAAGAAAAACACAAATGTAAAGTTTATACATAACTTAATCGAAAACTAAGTTGGTAGCTCGGTGGCGTAGTGGATAAGCGCCGCGGTCCACGATCGTTGTCGTTAAGCAACTTTCGCAAGGGTCGGTCACGGGATGGGTGAATTATCTTGAGCTACCCCGTGCTTCGGAAGATACGTTAAGCCGTTGATCCCGGCTGCATTTGCAGTCGTTAATACCCTCCAATCCGCATTGGGCCAGAGTGGAGGGTCGTGACCCATCCTCCTTAACCATCTATAAGGAAGGCCTGAGCCCCTGCAGTGGGAACGTAAAAGGGCTGGTGATGTGATGAATTGAAAACTGATATCTATGCATAGTTCTTTGGACAAAACGATAACGCAGTTTCTGAATAAACGCCATCCAGTATAGCAAAGCCTAAAGTTTTTTCTTAGAAAATTTTATTTCAAATTAAATTATTTATTGGCCATAAACTTAGAAAGTTACACTCGGTAAGTCTATTAGAATTCAAATTAAATAAGGTCTTAACTTAATAATTAAATAAGGATTTGGAATTGAATATTTTCAAAATGGAGTATCCATTTCCATTTTTTATCAGAAAAAAGATATCTGAATTTTTATAAATAACTAGTCTTCCGCCAGCGGCTCTTTCAGAAATGAGAAAATTCTATAAATTTTTGACGTCGCTTTTCAGTTTAATAATCGCGCGCCGAGGAAATAATATACCCCCTTGTGATATTTCGTGATTTTTGATGAATCCCTCCCCACTCTTTCGAACCTCACGTGATTAATGGACGGCCCCTTAGAGGTCGAATTTCGTAAAATTGTCTTTGTGAGCACCTACGTCCAAAAATGAACCTGTATGCAACATTTTAAACTCGTAGCACTTGTAATTTACCCCCTTAGGGATTGAGCCAATTATTAAAATTTATGCTTTTGTTTTTATCAAGCAATCGATCATAAGTTTTATTTACATAAAATGATTTTTAATTGGATAATATTAGCAACGCCGTTGAATAAAAATTGGTTTAAAAAGTGGTAATTTCGTACAAAGTAATTTTTACGACTAACGTCAAGTTTGCGTTTATTTAATATATTTCAAAGAAAGTCACTATCGCAATCGCTGCACATGTCAAATGGTAGTAGTGTGAAGTTACTCAATACCTTCAAGTCTCATTTTTTTTATGGGATAGGGGGCAGTCGAACAGACGGATCACCTGGTAGTAAGTACCGTCGCACATGGACACCTGCAACACCAGAGGGGCTACAAGCGCACTGCCGGCCTTTGAGGGACGAATATGCTCTACACTTGAAAGTTTGAAGGTCGTATCGGTCCGGAAATACCGCTGGCGACAAACTGCTCCAGAGTTTGACTGTGCATATTGAAAGGAATTGTAACCGATTTTAAAATTAGACAATTAAATCCCTGGCTTGCTCACAAACAATATATAATAGTTCATTTGAAATCTTAAAATGAACATCAGTTGGTGGAAATGTTGCGGAAACTACAATATTAAAAATTTAAAACAAGAAAGAAGTTATTAAGGTTTATAAAAGACAAAATAAAACAATTTTTTTCTGAGTTCAAATTTTTTTTTAACAATTAGTTCTCTGTTACAGCACAAAAATATTAACAACATAAATCTTTTACACAATCAATACACGTGATATGAATATGTCAGACTTCAGAGATGCACGATGGTACACAAACAAATCAGATTTGTTGTTACATTTTACAATAATAATAATTTAAATAAATATAATCTTTCATTCATTTGTAACGCCAAGCTAGGCGTTATCAAAAGCTTCATCCAGTTATAACGGAGAAAAATCGGGTCATTAAATAATCAATATCGCGTCAAAACAATCCGTAATCTCGGTTGTAGTTGTAGTTGCAGGAGTAAGAACAAGGACAGATCACTATCCAGATCGTCCTTAGCTAGCCGAGGAATAAGAACGATCGGTCGAATTCTCTTTTATCAGTTTGATAATTATTAATAATCCATTAAGCACATAGCACAAATAACAGCATTTTTTAAATATCCTTTCTAAAAAAGGGAAATATTAACTTTGGGTTTTTGAGACCTTATTTTAAGAACTGTCACATGGTCGACCCCCTATATCATACGTAATAAATAATGAATGATCCCTAACCAGAGTCAGAAACATTCCGCTTTTACCACACGGGTTCGACCCAGCGGTTTATTTAACTCGGAAAGATTTTGGGAAAAAAGAAAAATACATATTTGCAATACATATATACAATAAACTAATATCACAATTTCATACATATATAATTATTAATTACTAAGCAATGACACTCTTATGTATACTACAAAATATACATAGAAGACTTGTTACTAAGTATTCATATGTAAGTGGTTAATTTCATGTACATTATTGAACAATCCTTTTTTATCGACGTAACTAATATAAAATGAGGCGGTAAAGTTAACCAACAGTGCTACAAAGCCGTGCGTAAATAAAGAACCTGGACGAGTTTTTATCAGTGTTAATGTCGCAATCAACTGGTTAAAATAGCTATTCAATTGGGTGGCTGGCCATTTAATTGAATGGCGCCATTCTATTGCAAACCAAATTTTCTAGTTGAATCATTATGTCGTTTGGACCGTTCAACAACGATCAACGGCTGATTTAAATGTAGCCAAAAGGTTAATTTCGATTAAAAAATAACCTCGAATTTAAAACGTGGCCAAAGTAACTTTGTTGTGTATCATTTTTTGTTGTAAAATCAAGTGAAAGAAAACAGATTTGTGCATCTGTTCATTGATAGAACTTTACAAAGAAAAATAATAGGTAAGGTATATTCGATAATGTTTACACTCCTAATATGCAGTCATCTTCATTATCTTTATTATCTGTTTTATTTAAAATGGTTATATGTGGTGCACTCTGGGGATATCGCATAGAGATCTTATTGTTTTCGATCGCCGGTACTCTAACTATACTTGAGCCATCATTATTCGGGGATAAAAAACAGTGAAGTGGAACATTCAACGCAGGGCTGGCATAATTTGTTTGGACACCTTGAGGAATTGACTGCAGCATGTATTGGCGTTTCGTTTGGTTCATCACCATCGTAGAAATGTTCTTATTCTTCATTCGAGGAACTGTAATAAGTGTTTTAAATATTTTTTTATTTTTGCTCAGAGAACATGAAGATGGTGAATATGTTTTTGTTTCCTTTGATGTTAAGGCATTTCTCATTCTCGTATTATTTTGGTATGTACGTTTTACGGTAGGGTTTGCTATAGATGTGTCATTGTTTAAAGAGTACACGTTCATTATTTTAGGACCTAATAATTCTTGACCTCGCTTTGAATATGTTTCGAGAGAATGTTTGATCTGTATATTTTTAAAATATGATAAATTTGAGTAAATTTCATAAAGATTTGAGCTGGAATATATTTCTTCCCTCGCCTTTTCCAAGGCACTGTTTCTCTTAATTTCATTTAAATTGCCTTGATCATTCATATTTGACGGAATGTTATTTGTACAATCATATGCAGTTTTTTCATTTTCAACATCCGTACTTAACTGCTGAGAATGTGTAAAGCCCATATTAATAATATTCTGATTAGCATTAAGTGGATCTGCTAAATTACTACTTGAACTGTCAATAATACCAAAACTTTGGATTTGTTCCTGTGCACGTGTCAGTATGTCAGATAGAATTGTTAGTTCTTCGTTTGACAGTGAAGCAGCTGGGGCGTCTAAAAGAGCCACGACCTTTCCTTCGGCACTAAGCGACAAATGAATATTTTTAAATCTTTCCAGTATAGATGCAATCAATGCTTTTACTGTAGGATCCTCCGGTGTTAAGGGTTCGGATGGCTGAGGAATGGTTGTCATTAACATAGGAGTATGAGCTGTGTCTGTAAGCACATTACCCGATTGCTGATTATCTATCTCCAGAGGATTCACGCTTTGTTTTGAGTGTACATTATTGAGCCATGTGGTATATATTTCTTGGTGTCCTTGTAAGCGTTTATATGTATGTTCTTTATGAAGATAGTGACTTTGGTGTTTTGAATCCTGATTTTTACAAGTCAATGCACAATCGTCCTGTACGATACAAGTGGAAGGTAAATCGATATTTTTTAAAACTTCTTTGAGCCTGGTTGTGTTTTTTTTGGTGTGACTGATTGTTTGTTCTAATTCATTTAACTGTACTTGAGGAGAGTTAATTGTACTTTTACAGCAAAGGTTTTTATTTTGTGTAAAGTAATTGTGTGGTGTTTTCTGCAAAAAGTTTATCATTTGTCGTGGCAATTCTGACAATATCTTTTGACGTTTTAACGAGCAACAAGAGCTATCATTTACAATTTTAAGACCAGATTCCGCTAATGTTGACCTGTATGCCTGGTGACTTTTGTCGTATTTACCAACTTTCATGTAAGAAAGCATTTGAGCATCCGGTCCTAAAACATGATAATAATCAAAATTTTCAAAAGGTGATGTCTTATTTACGACAAAAAGAGGTTCCGATGATGAAGGCTGCGATATAGGAACCCGTTTAAATGCTTTAGGTTTTGGTTTCGTTTGAAATTCCAAAGCCTTATTTATCCAACTGTTTTTATTATTTGCGTCAGCGTTAGATAGAAACAATTGAAAATCAGCCCGCGATTTTTCACTAGGTAATTCTAAAGTTAAATGCAATGATTTTGAGCCCGCATTTTCGTTGCAACAACATATACAATTATTAGGTGGACATGCATGGGATATAATATTTACTAACATCTGTGATGTTTCAGTAACAACTGTCGGCCATACTTTCAGAATATGTTTATACCTTTTGTGCCAACAGCAGTTTATGAATTCAAACCTTGAATTATTTTTAGTAAAAGATAGTAATTTTGTTTTATTTGAAATTATGTACTTTAAATAGTAGTAATCAGTTAACGTTTCCAAATCTGGATTGATATAAAATATTTCTGTACTGTTTATGTAAGTATTTGTCATTACAACCCATACGTTATACAACTTTTTAAAAACAAGGGGGAACCTAATGTTTTTAGCACTCTGCTTATTGGAATTAGAATTTTTAATTCTTGGATTCAAAATCTTTGCTGCATATTTCTTTCGTTTACCTCTCATGTTTTCATTCATGTTGTAATATGAGACACAGGCTTTACAATCTAGAAAGTTATCCTGAAATTGAAGTTTATTATGTCTATTGCAAAATTTATATTGTAGTAGAGGCTTACAATCTACTAAGATAATAGACAATGGCTTACACATTTGCATAAGCAATTTGGTTTTGTCATTCACCCAATCTTTTGTTTCAGTTTTTACAAAGGGCTTGTTTGCTTCCTTCGAATTTACAATTGTAACTGTAGAATTTGTAATGTTAAATTGATCCAAATTGTTAGCGTACTTACGAATATCTGAACATTTTTTATTATCTATTTTAGTTGTATATTTTCTATTCAAATTAAAATAATTTTCTGATATGTGCATAGCTTCTACACGAGTTGAGGACATAATAGGGTTCTCCGATAAATTCTTTGGTAAGCTGACAGATATTTTTACTTCATCTTCTAGGACAGAGTCTACTTCTAAAAGTGGGTCTTGATCAACGTCTTCATAAACATCTCCTTCTTCCTTTATTTCAAAAGTATCTTGAATTTGTATTTCTTCTTCTTTAATTGTCGCATCTGTTAAAATTGGTAGGTTAAAAATAGGAGTTTGTCTTATCGATTAACACTAAGTTGTGTAAGATACAACATGGCGCATGGTTATTATTTGTTTGAGCAGAAATTAAAATGGGTATTGTTTAAAAATTAGAAGGTTTTTAAATACAATGAATCAGGCATGAAAGTCAATAAAATGTTTTCTTTCTTCCACCCATACTCCCGGTAGTATGATACTGGGTTAGCTTACTTTAGACTACAAGATGAGCTACATTAGTTATATCTTAATTAAAGGGTCTGAGGTTGGTTTATGTCTGTCAGCACAGTATTGCTTTTTAGCATCGCGCTTTTCTTTTCTGTCGCTCAGAATAGAGATTTGCTAGAGCGAGAAAAATAGCAGGTGTGCACACGCCGCGGAATCCTTAAGATAGACAACACATCATTTTTTCACTCTAGCAAATGACGGTTCTGAATGGCCAAAATGACAGGGTGACGGGAAAATGAAGATCGTGGATCATTAACGACCCATGCGACGTTATGTCGCCATAGTTCTAAATTTATAATCACCCGAAGTGTACGTGTTATCTACTCACATTAATATTTTTGATTTATTGTTTCTAAAAGCCAATGCCTACTTACCTAGTTCTTCGATATGGTCTTCACTTAAAGTAAGTGTTTCATCAATATCACTAATTTGAATTCCCCGTTGAGACAAATATAGCATTTTAGTTTTGATTCTATCGCTATTGTCTTCTTTATCTGTTTCCTTTATTTCGTTATTATCCTTATCTGTATTCTTAACGTCACTAGAATTAGCTTGGTTAGGCGTCTTTATGCCTGTAAGACAGAATATTTGGATAAGTCTAATTAATTATATTAGACTTGGGGTATATTTGCCTCTACTTAGCGGTTTTACTACTACACAGCAATTTTTTTTTTTTATGTACTTGCACTGCAGTGCTATTTTGTGAACTCCTAGCCTCGATAATAATAAAATAATAGATAAAAAGATAAATGTAAAACACATAAAGGAAGATAAAACTAAGTATAAACAAAAAACAAAAGTAAATAGATTAAAAAATTAGGATAAACATAGCATAAGAAACTATAAAATGTAAAAAAAAAAAATGTAAACAGAAAGAAAAGTAACAATAAAAAAATAGGTGTCTATTCATTAATAAAAAAAAATAAAATTAAGAATAAAAGTAGCTAGGAATTAGAATAGACGTGACAGTCCCAGTCACTCGAGGAATGAAAGAAAATGGAATGAGAGAAAGATCAGGAATGAAGAATGAGAGAATGACTAAAAGCGAGAACTGGAATGAAAGAGAACATAGAATACCAAAGGCCTGCTACAAAGTGGGGTGCAGCTAGGAGCTCGGCCAATATTGTAAGGTAGGGCATTTAAAAAAATAAAAATAAACCCCTAGCCTCGAACACGATATCCAGCACAGCGCTGTAATAGCTTAAAGCAATATTGCCCATACTATAGGTCGCAAACAAATAAATTTTTTTATTTATTTAAAATTAGCATTACCAATATTAAAGCTCTATGACGTGTAGCGCTTCACTCAACGACCAGTTAGAGGCTCTTGTTTAACAAAATAGCATAACTGTTGTGCAGCGATGTGTACATATACGTTTAATAAAAAATATTATAAATAGCTTACTTTTGTGTCCTTTCCTTAAAGCTAATTGTTTCTTAACTATTTTAGAAGTCTTCTCATCCAAATATTGGTCACACGATTCTAAGAACGCTTCCTTGGTGAGCAATCTCTCAGGAGGACTCCCCTCTTTTATGTCTATAATTTTGACATTTTCCATTGGCACCACTCTTTTCTTTGTTACCTTAGCCAATGGTTCATCTGCTCGGCAGGAATCGTGTCTCTTCAGGCATAAACCCGTTTTCGATGTTGAAGGTCTGGCTTCTTCGGATTCTTCTGAAATAATTATCAAGTTCCTACATGGTACGGCATCTTTATGTAATGTTTTACCGTATTTATAATATTCTTCTCTGAAATGATCTGAACAGATTCGCTGTGTTAGCTTTTGCTTTTGGGATTTCTTCAATAGATCCTTGCGTCCAATCAATGTAAGCCACACCGACAATCTACAACAAAATGCCGATATAAGAGGAAATGTATATAATGTATAAATAAAGATAATTTTAAATAGATGACAATCCCTATTTATTTCTGTTTATAATGTAGCACTGCTTCCTATAGTCAATTGCTTAAATTCCGAATTAAGGTGAAAGAATTTTTCACAAACAGTCTATTAGTTTCGGACATTTATTGCAAACAAACAAACTAATCTTTTCCCTTTATAATATTATTATAGGTTTCTGTTTTAATAGTTTTTCATATGTTTTTTATATTCGATTCTATCCATATCAACTACGACCAGTAAGCCAATTCTACTAATGTGTACATAATTTGTTTACTTTGCATAACTGGCCTATTGTTTCCCGGGCACCACTCACAATCGAGGGCATGCCCAGGGTCTTTATTTGAGCCTCTCATCCTGTGCGAGGAAAAGTTTTTCCATGCCGTCTCTTCAGGCGGCAGAGATACTACATGATGCTTTTTCCAGATCTGTGCTTTAGGTGCATTAGCAGGTTGAACAACATCATGATATTATATTTTACTAGGTTTCCGCCAGCGGCTTCATTCGCTTGACCTTGTATTATATATATAAACCTTCCTCTTGAATAATTCTGTATACTGATGAACATGTGTACAGACAGTGGGAAGCGAATTTTGTTTTATGCTATATAAATGTATAGATATGTTTTTAATGAAAAATTTTTTAAAAAGCCACTCATCAAAAACGACTTGGGATCAGTGGCAAAGTGAAAAGTACCAGGGATAAAGTGGATTTTTTAAGCATTTTTCATAAAGATTATATACCTATATATTATACTTTTGACAATAATGAAATCATAAATTTGATTTTATTTATAATATTTTTAAACTCACACGATTTGTATACATTATAATTATATGAAATCGGGTCTTGTTCGTGTATTATATTAAAACTATTAATTTACCTCGACGTTTCGGCTACGAACAACTTTTAAAATAATGCACGAACAAGACCCGATTACATATAATTGATTTTATTTATCGCTTAAATTAAAGCCAATGCGCTACATTCAATATTTTCGTTCATTAATTAAACACGACTATGCAATAGGTATAAGTTTGAAAAATCATTTTATTATATTATTTTTAGTATTGAGTAGATTAAATGCTGCTTTTGTGATGTTGGTTATCTAGTAAACAATAAATCTATCTAAAAAACCTCAGCAAATTCTTGTTTAAGCTTTCCGCCAGCGACTTCGGCCGCGTGGGAACTATTTAGTGGGATAAAAAATATCCTATTATCTAAGTCAGCTAATACCCTATCAGTATACCAAATTTCATCTACATCCGTTAAGTAATTTCGGCATGATTGACGGACAAACGTTCAAACAAAGAACTTTCACATTTTTAATATTAATAGGATAGGATATAGAAAAATTTACGAGCACATAATATAAATGTCGTTTATTTTTTGTTTTTCATATCGTATAGAACGGTGTATATCAATTTTATTTTATATTTTTTTCACGGAATCCTATTTTGATAACTAAAGAAATTACCTACACTGTAATTTGAATATTTTTCATGAGAGACTCGAAAAAAGGAACAAATTATAAATGGATAATTATATTCTAAGCATTACGAATTCGTAATTAAATATTATTATGAGTCTTTTCTACGAAAGTTTTATTCAAGGCCCTCTTGTACCTCAAAATCTATTTTTGTTACATAGTTAATAGTAGTTATAATATTTATTCAAAAACCTCTTGTTAACCGACTTCAAAATATAAGGTTCTCAGTTTGACCCGTATGTATGTGCACGATTATCTTGTTTATCTGAACCTATTTTGATGCGGTTTCAGCATAGTATTTGTCATACTTAGAAGAAAGTTTTAGGTATATTATTATAGGTATATTATATATATTTTTATAAAATCGCCTAAACTCTCAGGCAGAATACGGAGGCCCTATGACTCTGTTACGGAGCCCTAGGGTATCGCAGATCACCTTTCGGGAATTGAAGGTACCATTACAAACGTAACATCGACAACCCTATTACTAAGACTACTGTTTGCACAGATGATTTATTTCTGTTGCCGCTTCAACAATAATAGAATAATTTTTTATGGTTTTCTTTTATAAAAAAACCAAAAAAAAAACTGGTTTGTTGTTTTCAATATGTCGGTTAAAAGGAACGGAAATGATAAATCCATTCGTTTCCTGCAAAAATCAACTTTTGCTATAGTCGCCATCTAGTGAGGTGTTAAAAAGCAAAAGCATTGAATTTAAACTTTAATGCATTGTAGGTATACATGGTAATATATCGTTTCTGATGATAAAATAAAAATATTTGATGTTAATTAATTTTCTCTTTTTTTCGCAAAAAAATATGCAGTATTCATGCCTAGCATTATGAAGTATTAATCTAGGTACCTACGCAAATTTTAGAAAGATAAATGGATTTTTTATTATACAAATTACCATATGCATTACTATTAGTAAATGTGGTATTTTTCAAATTACTACCTAATGTAATACAGTATAGATAATGGATAATCGAGTCTCTGTAATATGTATTTCACTACGATATTTTCTATCTGAAATCATCATTTTGTTCCTTTGACACTGTGTGTAACCTAGAGTAATTTTCTTTAGACGTTCTAATATTATAGTCTGTGGTGGAACCTTGGTGCTGACAGAACGTGAGTTGCTCTAAGAGTCAAATTTCTTTAATCCATTTTAAACCTACAATCTGTTTGTTTTATGTTTGAAATTGATAAGCTGATGTGTGTGAATGTGACGTGGGTTTTATGAATTTTTAGAAATTTTCATAAACTCCAATCGATACATTAATGACTGTTTATTTTTACAGTTATTCAAGAAACAACTTACTTTTCTGGGTCACTGGTAGGCAGGCGAAATAATTTAACTCCGTCTTTGTTATATTTATTCCCACATCCGTAAACACAACAGTGCGCCACCATATCTGTTGATAAGCTATGCTTTGACCTTAAATTATATAATCTAAGACTATAGCTATGAATAATCAAAGTACTAATAAATATAATCAAAATACAAACTCAACGAAACACACACTATTATTATTGAAATGCTTTGCGCGTGTGCAACTCAACACACAAACATGAGTGAATACATCGACCGAGTGAAGCTTGTTCTACAGTGGCCGATACTCCAAATCTACCAGGGGGGCTATTTTGTAGGTAATTATTAGTCTTCCGTCGTGTATACGTTTATTAAGTTCAATATAAGATATTACATAGTCATTTTTAATCTGGTAACTACATACTTTATGCGTCACTATCATATCAACCAACTATTTATCCCCTTTTCCTTGGTATTGTAGAAACTAAAAGAATAAAATATTTAAAGAGGCAATAAAATATTTAAATTTTCGTTTAATATTATTTCTCGGAAATTTAGGGAATTATGGGCAACTTTTGCTACTATTAGTTTAGTAATGAAATTATGAATTTAAAAAAGTGGGTATATTATTATTATCCTTATTAGCTAAAAAAATCAATATGAAAATTGTGTTGTCTATCTATAACTATAAGTAATAATATTTAACTGAAATAGCTTAATTTTAAATTGATTAATAATGATAAATCAATAACATATTAACGGAAAACAAAGCATATCAGATTCTATAAAATAGAAAATCTTGATCGAGCGAAAGTTAGTAGTAAACGTAACTAGTGGATGCAAGATATATGATTTTAAAAATAGGACCCCTGTACCGCGCCCTTCTCACCTCTCGCAATCCTCCCTCATCTTCCCCGCCTCTGCATACCCCTCGCCCTGCATCTACCATGGTCGCGACCAGTGCAGTAAACTACAGTTTTAACTGTTGCGTTATACTAGGTATTTAGTACTAGGTTCGTGTACCTAATCTCAATACTATCTAATAAATTTATCCAAATACCTATTTTCCTAGTCCACTTATTATTATAGCAGTTTCACGTATTATTTATTGGTCGGACGGGTCTGCTAGATTATTGGGAACCTTATTTACCAACAAATGGAATATAAACCTAAATTAGTTCGTAGATAGTTATATAATACTTCAAGTATATGTATTAGGCGAGCATGACTCATGGTCATGAAATAATAACTTTTTTTTTTACTGTAGGAATGTAAATGGAAGAATGAGGACGTATTTAAAAAAATAACATTAGTTCCCGAAATCAAACTAGATGTCGTTACGGTACTTTCTTCATTTCTCCATTACAACCCTTCAAGATTTCTTTCATGTATAAAAGTAAATAAATTTTCAAAACTCAATAAATAACACATATTCTATTTGTACTTTTTCGTATTTGTATTGATATCTTAAGTTCGAACTTTGCAAATTTCAGTTGAACAAAGGAAATGACTATCTTTGGTCCATTCGTTTCCTGTAAAAAACAACTTTTACTAGGGTCGCCATCTAGTGAGGTGCTTTTTTAGCGCTTTCTTTTTTTAAATACTTCTTCATTAACAAAATAGTACTAAGCTCTCAGACTAAGATTGATCATGTGTTTTGAAAATTAAAACAGGTGCCGCTTAGTATTATAAGAACTTGATTCGTTATACTAGTAAATACGACTTACCGCTAGTACACTGATAGTGGTAAAAAATACTAGTTGGACTTAATCGAAAGAGTGTATAGAGTTGTAGGCTAATCGTTAAAACGGGGAGAATAAGATTTGCCTGAGCAGATTATTATCCTCCGCTATTTCTTAATTCGCTGGCCATTTGTATACTTGCGATATCGTTCAAATCTTAAGTTTTGATGACTTGCCCGGTCATACATGGGCCATTTGATTGTAGATTAGGTATTTTCGTAAGACAAACATAGGAAGAGGTGGAAATAACTGCTTAAAATTTTTAAACGTCGTTACGTTGTACGATTTTTAGTAAGCGTTTTTAAAAATTGCTTATTGCTTAAACGCTTTTTTTTCGACTAACGTTTGGAAATCGTTATAATAAGCGTGCAACATTGTGTTATGACTATGTAGCTCGGTGGCAAAGTGGATAAGCGCCGCGGCCCGCGATCGTTGTCGTTAAGCAACTTCCGAAAGGATCGGGCACGGAATGGTTAACCAAAAAAATTATTATCTCGAGCTTGTTTCGGAAGACACATTAAGCCGTTGGTCCCGGCTGCATTTGCAGTCGTTAATACCCTCCAATCCGCATTGGGCCAGCGTGGATGGTCATGCAGCATCCTCCTCAACCATCCATAAGGAAGGCTTGAGCCCCTGCAGTGGGCACGTAAAAGGGCTGGTGATGATGACGATATGATGCTTAAATCTTTAAAACTACGCAACGGATTTCGATGCGGTTATTTTTCATAGATAGGGTGATGCAAAAGGAAGGTTTTTATGTGTAATACAAGACCACAATACTATTACCGTTGCTCGACATTTTATTTACACAATCTTAAAACTAATGCAGTTCAATAATATTTAGTATGTTTTATACACACCATCACCTCATAACAAAACTTATTTACATTGTTTATTTAGAAATAAACAAAAGTCATTACTTAAGTAGCAATTTATTTACGCCTACAATACTTCAACAACGAAGAGCGTACTGCTTTTTTAAGTATAAGTAGCAATTTATTTAAGCCTACAATTCAACTTAAGCGTTGATTTCATTTCGATTTATCGCCCTTGATTAAGGGTGGTTGGCGTCGTTATGAATACACTGCACTAGATCGCCCCCCTAACTTAGTTGGCATGCAAACGTGGCGTTGAAAGGATGGCTCCTGCGTTCACAAAGTACCAAAAAATTGGCATAGCTCTTACTTTAACTGCGGGCGTAAATAATAAAACAAAAAAAGAAAATGTTGGGTGAAAAAATATTTGCTTCTAAGAGACAACCCATGCAGTTTGAACTAGTTCAGAATAAGTTCTGCACATTTTGATCATATATTAAACTTAGTCATACCTTATATATAAAAAAAAAATATACGCTATTTAGAACTAGTGTAAGCGCTAAATACTGGTTAGCTGTAACCTTAAGATTTTTAGCAACGGGAAATACATATCATGACTTAAAGTATAAATCATTGATATCAGAACCCCTGCTATCACAAATTGTATCAGACACATGCAGGGATATCTATAAATTTTTAAAACATTATATAAGGCTAAGAAAAATAAATAATATGAAATTTACATTCAATATTAATTCTTTTTCCTTTTGAGAAAACATTGATCACCCGATATCTAGACCCTAAATCTCTAACAGCGATTAGACCCAAAAAGTTGTTGCAAAAAGTCTAGACGGATATCATGCGTAATAGTATAATAATACAGTGCATTTATGTAAAGTGCTGCCCTCAAATAGAAAAATGCCGAAACAGAAAAATTGATTGAAGCTAGAAGTTATATCTTGATAGATGGCGGGACGTACAATCAGCATTAACATACGTTTCTTCTAAGTGAAAAAGTGCTTTTGCACTTATTTAGAAAATAATGCTTAATTAAGCGCTTTTCGTTTAAACGTCCATCTCTAAACATAGGTGGTCTGAGGGATGACATGACTAGAGATGCCCAAGTAAAGAAAAGTCGATAAAATATTAACGTGATCATTTACACAACAGATTTCGTGAAAGTATATTTAGTCACATAAGTGATCCCAATATATTAAATATCAAGTATTTTATTAAGATGTTCAGAACATTCTTTGATTTTTGTATTCAAAAGATTAATCTTTTGTTGAAGTAATGTGGCGAATGTCGAATTAATTTTATTTCAATCCCGAAAAAAATGAAATAGAAATGAAAAGTATTTCGGAACTTGTCATCCGATATTAAAAATTAGAATTGTACAGTCAGATTTTGGATAATAGCACCAACTACCAAAAAATTATACCGAAGCTGATCATCATCAGATGCTTGTTAATGTTCTCACTGCTTGTGCACAGGCCTCTCATGTAGACAGTGGCGGACTAAGGGCTTCGGGCCTCAGGTTTTGGGGCCTCCAAATGGCCTTAGTCATTCGAAAAAACCATAATAAAAGATAATAGATAACACTTAGATAGATAGATAACACTTTATTGCAAACACCAAATACAAAACATACAAAGAAATAATATATAGGTTGTAAATGCAATATCAAGTTTCTACCCAGGTTGGTCTACGAACTTGTCGATCCAGGCCTATTGCCGCCCCGGGTCTCCGAATAGGTAAATCCGCCACTGCATGTAGATAGAATAGAATTGAATTGAAAAGACCATATATTAAACACGTGGAACGAGAATAGATTGGTGGTTGTAAGCAGTGATTTAACGTGATTTCCAATTTCCAAAGCATTTCCTTATGACCAGCCCTTACAAAAGTTGCTAAATTTCCGCATCGCAGACTGAATGCGCTGCGAAAGTTTTTTGGTATCTTCTTAGTTTTATTTTGATACTCGAAAATAAACATCAATTAATGATTTATCGGAGATAAAAATATATATTTATTTATAACTCGAATCTTTTATGAAAAAGTATCGATAATTATTTTGTCATTTGCAAACCTAGTAGACGTGTCTCAGTGTGACGTGAGTTTTTTTCCTTTTTCTAATTTAGGGGTCATTACTGATAAAACTTTTGTAAAAAGTTAAATTTCATGAAATTCTATTCGTTTTTATGAAATAAGTTGTCAAAAATTGTAGTTATTCTAATAACTTATAATCTCAAAATATTGGTGCTATGGCGAGACGTTATCGTGATGTGGCTGCAAAACTGCAACAAAACGTGCAAAAGCATATAAAAGAAATGAAAGAACTCTCATCTTCTGAAGATGAGGAGCCATATGAATCTAGTGTATTGGATGGCGTCTTACAGTCCTACAGAATAGGAGGTGGCGATATCTCTAAATTGGATCGGACCAGGCACCTGTTGGAAGAGGCTATCAGTGGTAAATCTGTTACTTGCCTCATCTGTATAGGTTCTATTAAACGAGCAGATGCTATATGGACCTGTGATTACTGCTACTGCTATTTCCATTTGTCATGTATACAGAAATGGGCTAATGATAGCGTCAGTCTCAAAAACGAAGAAGCTCAAGGCCCTATAGTCATAATCGTGCCTAGAAAAATAGAGTGGTGTTGTCCCAAATGCCGACAGTCATACAGTAAAGATGTAATACCAAGAAGGTATAGATGTTTTTGTGGAAAAACTGATGATCCACCTTATCACCCTTGGCTGATACCACACACATGCGGAGAGGTATGTGGTAAATTTCTATCCACTGCTGAGAGTTGTAAGCACAAGTGTCTTTTGCTCTGCCATCCAGGGCCTTGTCCTCCATGCCCTCAAATGGTGAATGGGGCATGTTACTGTAAAAAAGAACATAAGAAGGTTAGATGCAGTACTGCAAAGTGGTCATGTGGACATCCATGCAAGAAAAATCTCCTATGTAATTCTCATAAGTGTGAAAGTATCTGTCACCAAGGAGATTGCCCTCCATGTAGTTATGTTAGTATTCAATCATGTCAATGTGGCTCTGAGAAAACTAAAAGACCTTGCAATGATCCATTGTGGCATTGTGAAAAAGTTTGCAACAAACCTTTCAGTTGCGGCTACCATAAATGCTCAAAAGTGTGTCATTCTGGTGACTGTGGAATGTGTCCTAATTCTGGTATGAGATCATGTCCGTGTGGAGCAAATAAAAAATATGTTGAATGTCCTGATATTATGGAGACTTGCCTAGGGACTTGTGGTAAGAAACAAGATTACTGTGAACACAACTGCCCTGAAAAATGTCATAAAGGCATGTGCCCTCCTTGCCAAGTTTTGATTGAAAAGCAATGTCAATGCTCATCCCATACTAGAATGTTACCATGTAGTAAAGAATACAAGTGTGAAACAAAATGTAGGGGTATAAGACCATGTGGTAAGCATGGTTGTGGCCGTAAATGCTGCAATGGCGATTGCCCACCATGTGAAAAATTATGTGACAAACCATTACAGTGCGGCAGACATAAATGTACAATGGTTTGTCATCGTGGACCATGTTATCCTTGTCCAAGAGAGTCTAAACTAACCTGCAAATGTAAAGAAACTTATGTAACAGTACCATGTGGGAGAGAAAAACATATCAAACCTCCAAGATGTTATTTACCATGTAAAACAAAATACAAATGTGGCCATGTTGAAGAGAACAGGCATTCCTGTCACTTTGGAGATTGTCCACCGTGTAAAGCTATCTGTAGCAAAAAGTATGCAAAATGTAATCATGATTGTAAAGCTACTTGTCATGAATATGTAGCAGTAGTCTTCAAACAAGTTGAAAAGCCAGCAACTCCTTGGGAAATCACTCCTCCTAAAACAAAAATAATGACTTTGGACTGTCCCCCATGTGAAACACCTGTCCCTGTTATATGTTTTGGGGAACATGAGACAGAAAATCTGCCATGTCATTTGGCTAAGAGACGTTGTTGTGGAAGAATATGTAGTCGACCTTTGATCTGTGGCAATCATTTCTGTTCTTTACTTTGTCATTTATATGCACCAAATTCTGATTATCTAAACGTACCTTACACTTGTAAGCAGTGTGATAGAGAATGTGTAGCAGCTCGCCCTGACAAATGTCTACACAAGTGTGCGAGACAGACATGCCATCCTGGAGCATGTCCCCCATGTGATATATTTGAACGAGTTCCTTGTCATTGTGGTGTGACTGAGTTATATTTGCGATGCCGTGAGCTCACTACTGCTACTGAAGAAATGTTATCTTGTAAGCAACAATGTTCAAAGAATTTGGAATGCGGTCATCGTTGTCGTAACATATGTCATTCGGGCTTGTGTCAGGAAAATCAAGTATGTAATAAGAAGACTAAAGTGCATTGTCCCTGTGGTAATTTGCGCAAAGAAGCTCCTTGTAATCTTGTAAGAAATGGAGAAGTAGAAATGATATGCAATGATGTTTGTGAAGCAAAGAAAGTTGCAGCTAAGTTGGAAAAAGAAAAAGAATTACAAAGATTAAAAGAAATGGAAGAAGAGAAGAATCGTAAAGAGCTAGCAGAGTATGAATGGAAATTGAGTGGAAAGAAAAAGAAATATAAGGAAAAGAAAATTGTTCAAAATGTTGACAATAGAAATATTTTCCAGAAATATTGGATTCCTATTTTGTCTGTGTTTATCACAGTAGTTGGTGCTCTTTATATGATAATAGAAGTTTGATGCTTAAATAACTATAGTTGTTATAAGTTTACCAGTAAAACATCTATTAAATATTCATAGATATTAAATAGTGAAGCAATAAAAAGTACATGTCGTGCTGCTGTCATTGTTACACTTCCATGTGGCCTGTAAATGTGACAGAGACAGATTCACAGTGAGCAGAACTCATCTAAAGTTTTATTTATTTAAAAAAAAAAACTGAAAAGAAAATCTTATTATGAACAGTATTGCGTATTGTTTTAATAAAAATAAGTGTACCTATTGGTAAATATTTGGGTATATATATAAGTAATATGACTTATCATTCCAAAGACGGGGAGTTTATTTCTGTTTTGTTTTGTTAATATTTTTGTTAAATGTTTAATTTTTAAGTCTGTATATAGCTACAGAACAGTCAATAATGTTCCTAAAAAAGTAATTACTCTGAATAATAATGTAGATAGTGTATTGTTTTTTATACTATGTACTCTAGTTATATAGTTTAGATATTGCATTTTAATCCTATCCCATTTGATTATTAAAAATTTAAAGTTTCTTTGTTTGGATGTTTGTCCGTCAATCACGCCAAAACCACCGAACGGATTTTGATGATATTTGGTATACAGATAGGGTATTAGCTGACTAAGATAATAGGGTACTTTTTATTCCACTGGACATTTCCTTAGGGACCACGCGGGCGAAGCCGCTGCCGAATGCTAGTTATTATATAAATCCGTCCAATTGGTTAGTAAGCTTTGTAATAAACTTTCATATTATTATGTATATATGAAATATGTATATCAATAAATTGTCAAAAAATACATGTCCCTGTCTATACTTAGCCAGACTGAAAATCAGTCTAGCCTGAAATTGCTAGTTAAAGTAACTATACCAACCAAGCGGACGTGATTGCAAGTAAAAACTATTATTTACTATACGTGACTGATCCGCGCGGGGCAAAGCATACCTGGTCATACATTTGGTGGTACATACATTTGTGGTAATACCTAGTGTGTTGGATAGCTTGGCGACGTCGACAGTGCTGTAGCCGAATTCAATCGAGTGTTTAAAAAATGTAACGGAGCGACTATCCATAAGGCTGTATCTAGACAAAATACGAACTCTGTAGTAGCGAAAAAGTAACAGGTGCTTGAAACATTCGTCAGTCCTGTTAGGTCCTAGGTAGCTTAGTGGTTAGAGCAGTCGCCCGGATTGCGAAAGTTTATGGGTTCGAGTTCGTTCGAGAATTTTTTAAGCTTTTTTTCGATAAGTATTTTTTTTCAGCATTGTGTGCAAAATTTCTCAAATATAATAGCAAGTCCTCTCTGATTTTATTTATGATGTATTCTGTTTCACTGGTTGTATCAAAGTTTTAAACAATTAGCCCCATAAAAATTAAATTGACATTGAAAAAAAGAATACTACTAATTGAGTGTGATGACTAATTTTGGTCGGATTATGGTTTAAATGAGGTACTAAAACTAGTTCTCCTTTTATAAAAATATTGCATAGGTTTCAAAGGCTATTACTTTTACGGTTTTCCCTCTTCGTTGTCGTTATAATTATAGTATAATATTTGGAGTCAAGTGCTATTGATTAAAGGGTTCGCCTTTTCTCGTAGCTCTTTCATTTTCTATCGCTCAGAAAAGCCTTTTTTTAAGATATATATAGTTGATAAGTTTTATAAGAAGAAATGGAGTATATGTGATTTGAAAGGAGGTAATTAAAGAGTACCGACTATAAAAAAAGAGTATCATTATTTAAAAAAAAAGTTTTTTTTTTAAGTATTACAATCATAGGTATGCATCATTTATGTGTGACTGGGTCAACTAGTATAATAAATAAACATTGCGTAAAAAGTATTTTAGCGTCCTCTATTAGTATGGTAGATTGTAGAGTACACCTTCATGATATAGAGTACAACACTTTTAGAGTACGGTTGGTAACTCGAGTTCTGAGCGACACTAAAGGATAGTACGACGGATAAATGCTTACGTTTCCCGTATGCGATACCGTGTTACTAATGTAGCACAACCCTATTAGTATGGTTTATATTTATATAATATGATAGTGTATAGGCTGTTCAGTTGATTACTATTAAATAGTAAGTATCTGTAACATTTAATGTAGACTGTTTTATGTATTTATTTTGTATTTAGTTCAGGGTTCGATACAGGAAAAAATTAACTAGTTTTTGCTATTGGATTTTGGATTTTTTGTTAGAACTTTGTGTATTAAAATTGATATCTTTATAATATTTTTTAAGGGTAACTTCATTTTTATTTTACTAATCATAATCATCATCATCAATTCAGCCAAAAGACGCCCACTGCTGGGCATAGGCCTCCCCCATTTACTAGTAACGTTATAATATTTGCTAAGATGTATCCTATGTTACCTATGGCTAGTTATGGTTAGTAGGCAGTCGCTCCCTAGCTTAGTCTACAGATAATACTTTACATACAAATGTTTTACAATCTGTTATATCAGTTAATTAATCTTAATTCTTCCTCTTAATGTGGAAATTACATTTAAAAGCTTTTGCCTCCAGTTTAAAAAAAAACTGATATGACGGAGTTGATTTGTAGTAGTTAATATTAATTATATGACGTAATCAGTAAGTGACAAGTAATTAAATTATAACGTGTTTTAATACGATTTTTTAAAATAAATTTATTAAATCAATTGAACTGTTTCTTTTATATAACTATATAAAATGTCAAGTAACTAATTGGAGTCTTTTAAAAACAAGCTTTTATTTGTGCGCACTAGATATGCGCCGATTAGTGGTTTCATCGAATATCGGATAGTATTCGGTTTAACTTTTGCGGAATTATTCGGTTTACCATTTCATTATTTTTATTAAGCCAGAGTGTTTCTAAGTGTTCCTTGTAATTAGCGAACAATGATTTAGGAAGCAGGAAACCTACGAGTATATAAAGAATGACATCAAAAATAATACTTATCTCAAAAGCTACTTATTCAAAGAACTGCTTTTGAAGTTTGGCGGAGGTTTACTGTACGTTATTAATTAAATTATAGGAATATAACAATAGCAGTTTCTTGAATAAGTCGCTTTTGAGATAAGTATTGTTTATCCCCTTTTTAAAATATGAAGTCGGATCTATTTTTTTAACCGACTTGAAAATAGATAAGAAGGACGTTATATGTTTGACGGAGATGCATGTTTCTTATGTATGTTCACCGATTTCACCGAAATTATAGCCTATGTCTGTCGCGTAATATGTAGCTTCCCGTGAATGAAAGATATAAATCGGTCCAATACTTTACGTGAAATTGTTTTTTGACATATTATTTGTGTTCTTTGTGCTACGTTGTATGGCCATGTTTCGGGATTATACATGTATTTCTAAACATTCTGTATATAATATATACTACTATAATAATAGAACCTAATTCTAACTTTAAAAAAGTGATACATAATAGGTACTTATATTTGCAAAATACTTACGCAATCTTTTTTTTTCGCATATGTAAACATATAACGAATATATTTAGGTTATAATATTTGACACCAAAACCGAATTATTCAGCCGAATACGAATAGTGAAAAAATGCCGAATACCGAATATCAAACTAATATTTGGCTCTAAATACCTAGGTAAATTCTAAACGTTTTTATAATCAAAATTAAGTTTGTAGTGCTAATGACGAGGAAAATCTTTTCAAGTTAATTACTGTTAGACAAAAATTTGATTATAAGTACTTTAAATATTTAGAATTTATTTATTTACGTTTTAGTGCGCACATATAAAAGCTTGTTTCTTAAAGACCTTTTTTTAAAAAGGTCCCGTATTGTGTTCATACATTCACTTACAAAAAACACGTGTTTATTGAGAAGGTCACTCGCCTTTATCCTCCTTGACTGTCCTTAAGGAAGGCCTGAGCCCCTGCTGTAGGGACGTAAAAGATGATAGGCTATAAGCTGGGACAGAAACTTGGTACAGCGCCCTTCCAATAAAATTATAAACATTCTAAAACAGTATATTATTTATAATGTACGAGTATATTGATGATCGTGGTACTCCCCTGACACTGGTGGGTAAGAGCCCCCTCTTGCCCCCCTAGATCCGGGCTTGACTATGCACCTATTACATACACAACCCCCTTTGAAACTATTAATTAAGTCGGTAAAAATGTTTACATTCGCAAACGTGTGTTGAGCCTTATTTAAGAAACAAAAGTGTAATTTAATATTAAACATTTTATTTCTAAATCGATAATACAATGATTAATTTTATGAGAAATAAAAATTATTCATAATCACATAAATTAATTGTAGTTAAACAAATTATCACATATGTGTAAGTAATGATGGTAGGCGTGTTAGTTTATCGTATTTTATAAGACTGCTATTATTATCATACTATTTAATCGTGATCGAAATATAGGGAATAGAACAAAACGACAGGTTATAGAAAAGTCACACTTTTCCAATTTTAAATCTTACTATGTTGATCATAGGGTTCAAAATCAATCGCGAAGACATTTGTGTGTTTAATTTAACCCTTCTAGCATATACAACACATATATAAGACTGTAAATTATACGTTTATTAGTAAAGAAAAAGCATTATAGTTATAAAACTAAGAGATTTTAAAATTAAAATGACTAAGTTTCCGAGAAGCAGTCAAATTAAAACAAATAGGTATGAAAACAAAACGTGACAAAACTTCAGTATTAAATGAGTGAATTTATTATGACACCCCTATTCTAGATGATCAGTGATATTCTGTTAAAAAACAGTCTCGAACTCGTCGCACGGTCTTACTCTCGTATCTATAGATGAGTATGTGATTACTTGAGAATATGTCATAATTTAAGCAGGTATTTTTACCAAATAAACAAGAATTTCAACATAGGTAATAGTTAGAATACTATTATTCAAATTTTTGCATCATTACTTCTCTAGGCTATTGATACTACGAAAGTCAGAGCTGACACGTCATAGAGTTTCAATGAAGTAAAACCTTTATTACCCATCAAAGTAGGTTTTATTTGAACGAATCTTGCTATGACAGTGTTGTGGTGAATCGAATTCTATTGTAGACTGGCTTTGTAACTGCAGAAATACTCAGTCTATACATATTTGCTAAGTTTTTTAACTTCCTTCATCAAATATTAACTTTTTACACCTATCAATGATCAATCTAAGTCGACTTGCTTTTCGGAAAGTGAATAAAAAAATGGTAACAATTTAATGTGGTCAATGGCACTTTAATGACTCATGTAACCACTACTTAGTTATAATTTCATTAATACAGCACCAAACGGAAGGCCTTCACGGTATTGTTATTTATATTTAGTTCCATTAAGAGTTGAGTTACCTGGCAGCATGTATCGTTTTAATTCGTCTCTATCCTTTTCTAACGTTCAGAATTCCTATTTGCTAGAGCGAGAAAGATAGTGGTTGTGAAATAACACGGGGCGGAATCGTCATGGCGATATACAACGCTATCTTTCTCGCAAAAGTCGATTCTGAGTGTCAGAAAATGATAAGGCATCAGTCGGCAACCTTCAGTGACGGAAGAGTCAGAAGCTACAATTTACTAGATTTCACAGTTTTTTAAAGATCCACTGAAAGATTTCGTTTCAGTATTATTATATCATATTTGACAATTTATTTAAAACAAACGACTTTGAATGTACATCGCTCAGTCGTATGACATATCTCAATCGTATTACAATATGGCTACTCTATTATGAATGGATTATACGAGCATTTCCACAATAACATATTTTTTATACTTGAGAGCCGTTTACATCAACATGATCGTAGGTTGCCAACCCCTGGCAAAGGCGATGGGAAAAATCGATAACATATTGTCAGATGTAGCTCAACCCTAAATGACATTACACGTGGCTTTTAGAATAAGTTATTGCAATTTAAATCATATTCATCTGTGATCTATATCACCATGTTCATTTGATTAACATTTAAACTTAATTCTATTTTCAACGCACTCTTGTATTGATTTCAGGTTTTTTATTCTTACTAGATAATTTAAACCAGCCAGCCTTTTTGTTATTATCTTTAGGCATTGAAATGGAACGGGACAGTCTATCTCTCTCGTTCTCTTTACTGAGAATCTCACTTGATTGACTCTTTTTGTTGTCCTTCACGGTTCTTCTTGATAGAGTGCTGTTATTGAGGTCGTCCTTCTTTTTATCCTTTTTATAAAGGGTATGGCTAGAGCTTGTCAGTCTGCTGTTCTGAGGACGCTTTGTCAAAGTTGTTTGGCTGTAAGACTTATGCTTTTGCAGTGATTCTGGCCGCTCCACTGTATTTCGTGTAGATGGCGGTTTTTGGACCTCCCTCGATTTGCTTTTCCTGGGCTTTTGCGCGTAATGAACATCATGTTGTTCACCGTAATGCTTTGGCGTCCACGGTGCGAATATGGAGAAGGTTTTCGTGGTACTCCTTATTTGGAGATTGGAGGAGTTTACTGATGATACGTCATCACGCGATCGGTTGCGAGTTAGGCGGCCAGGATCTGGTATATCTCCGACTGAAACGAAATGAAAAGTAAATTAATTACAACATAAGCCTTTTTAGAATTTATAGACATTATCTATGAATTGAATAAATCTCTGGTGATATCAGTTTTGCCTTTGTCAAATATGAACGGCATAAAATAGCTATGATGTACCGCAATATATGTATCACAATAGAGTATTTGCTACACTTTACAATATTAACTGGGTGAAGTCGCAGGACAACAGCTAATAAGGAATAGCTATTAAGTAAGTAGAATGTCTAGGTTTCCTTTGTCAATGAATAGATGACGCTAGTGTTCAAATTGAATTAAAATAATTAAAATAAATTTTTGGTCACCCATCCCATAACCGGCCCCCGCGGAAGTTGGTTAACTTCGTAGACCAAACTCGCTAACCACTACGCTAATCAGCTCTTTAATTTTTATTTTTTTAATTTAATGCTATACACATATATGTTTTCTACTTTAGTTTTCTTACCAGTAGTAGCGTGCAAGTATACAACACTACGCTGCGATTGGTGGCTGGAATCCCCTTCGGTGCTGCTTTCACCAGAATTAGTGCCTGGTGTTCTACGACGGTGTCTGAAATTAATTAGATATGCATATAAAATTTACAAGTTTTTCCTAAACTGTGAAGAATTCCTCTTGGTTACGTTCAAAATTTTTGGCAGGCACAAAGAGATAGAAGTCGAGGAAAGTAAGTTCTAACTAATATAGCGGACGGTGAATCTTCGTTTGCTCTGAGCAGACCTACCAACACCGACGATAGCCAAAAGTGCGATGAATAACCATAAGGTGTAAAATACAATGCATTACGTGCCTGTTTGACTTACACTCTGCGCTAAGTTGGTGGTTCGTTCGATAATATAATATAGGTATTGTATATAATTTTGATTGGTGACTGCGCTTCTATGTTAAACGTGACTATCCAGTATTAAATGCGTTCCTTAGTCTTAAGTCCCAAAAATAAATTATTATTAATCATCAATAAAGCAAAAAAACTAAACAAAGACAATAAAAAAGAACGTTATTACTCACTTCAAATCCCTAGAGAGCTCCTGCTTACTCCCCCGCAGTTCAGTCGAACTGCCTCTCTCTTCTGTTCTCCTCCTCAAATCACCTTTACTGCCTTTCAGAGTTTTAGAACTGCTGTGACTACGCGATCGATCGTAAGGACTTATGGGAGGTTTTCCTACTCTTCTATCGAGATGACTTTCCGTTTCCGAGTTGCTGATTTCGGAGATATTCCTCAAATTCCTCTTGTAGTATTGCTTCGTTCTAGGTGATTCGTTTTTCTCTTCTCGAAGATTGGTTAGAGAGTAGCTTTTCCCTGATAACTCACTATGATCTACCTCATCAATACCAGTGCTAGAGTTTGAGATAGTCTTTCTCAATGTATTGTGGGGTTTTGGAGTGCTTCTAGATTTGGTAGCTGTTTGTTTGACGTTGGAGTCTGACTCGAGATCTGTGTCGCCGAAGAATCTTAGATTCTTTGCTGGAGAGTTGAGAGGTTTAGTTGTTTTAGCCCAGGCTTTACGTGGCTCGTCTTCTGGTGTGATAACCCTTTCTTTTTCCTGTAATGAAAATGGAAAATAAATGGATTAACATTGGAGGGTTCTATATTTTGTTTCTAAATAAAAATTGTCTTTTTCTTAATTATTTAGTACTTTACTAATAAACTTGTAACCCGTTGTTGTGGAAAGCGCAGCGCTAAGAAGATTTTTTGCACCAAATGAGAGGTGGTATATACTTCTAATACTTCAGTTATTATTAAATGAATTCGATTTCGCTGGGTTTTAACTAAGCAAATGTTATTTCTTTCAAATGGAGAATAATTCTGAACTATCTCTTCTTCGTTAAAGATACTGTTTAATTTGTGGTAGGTACCTTAATAATTTTCCCCTTTTTCTTGGCTGTCAACCTGTCCAGAGACTTCATCCAGTTGGATGTGGTAGCTTGCCTCCGTGGCGGTGACGGTGTGGGGCTCGGTGTAGCTAATCGTCGTCTCTCTCTGTACCTCTCCGCCTGAAAATGATAGATATACATTTTTATAGAACTTGTATTATAAAATATAGAACTATCACCTTTTCCACACCATTTAAAGCGTACATATTTCACGCCTCATATTTCGATGATGATTGAAGGTTTAAATTCAATTGAAGAAATTTGTCAGATTCTTATAATCTGACGTGCTGTTGACTGTACAATACGATGTTATGAACCTGCTACTGAACAGTTTGGTGAGTAGATAGATATTATTACAGTTGCCCATTATAATATAAAATCAAATGTACGTACGCAACATCATACGCGTTCGTTGACATCGACATCATAAATCATAGTTTTAGGGATCCTCACTCGGATTTTAGAACCTTTTTGGTATACTGTATAAACACGTTCGTTGAACACATCGCTGTCATAGTCTTATAGATACAACTAAAGGCTACTCCAAAAGATAATAAAGGTTTTATTTGATTGAAGCTCTAACGCACACTGTATTTTTGATAGCACTGCTAAAAGATTATGTTATCCCATAAAAAATCATGTGAAATTTTACGAAGATGAAATTGTATGGTACGGTACAGTGTAGTATGGTACTCTTAAAATTGCATATAAATAAATAAATTTCGGTAAAAAGGCGTGAAACAGTCACTTTCGCAGTTATGATATTAATTTGGATAATACGGATGATAACTAGGTTACATAAAAACTATTAAGTCGTTACTCAGACAATAGAAAAATATTAGATACATATTTTTTTTTACTTCAATTTAACAAAAAGTAGCTTAGATAACAGGCATTAAAGTTGAGGATTGGGGGCTCGCTACGTAAACAGTTTTGTAGAAAATGTACCAAAGCGTGACGTCACGCGACATTTTAACTCAACGTATCGCCGTAATTTTATGATTACGAAAAAATACTTGTTTAATGTATTTCAACAATCTATCAGACGAACAAGCAAACGAAAATTAGTCGTCATCCCTATAGTAAAAAACTGCTGGTGAACGATAATAACCCCCGGGTACAGTAAGTATATCACAAATAGCAACGTTTTCATAGATATGTTTTTCTTCTTTATAGACTAGCTGTATTCCCACGAATTTGCTCGCGTATAACGTAGCTTCCCATAGGTGAAAGAATTTTAATGATCGGATCGGTATTTATAAAGATTATTCCATACAAACAAACAAACAAACAAACTTTATAATATAAAATTAATATAGACTACAATAGTCGTGTGCTATTCGATATGCAAAGTTTTTTGCCGTATTCAATTGTATTGTATTGCATAATCATCTTTTTGAAAGCATATCTTAGCTTTTAAAATAAATTACTTATTATTTATTTTGTATTACACATATTTAAATTTTTTACCTTCAATATCATACTACTTTATTTAATTTTTATATTATACCTATTATTTTTGCCTTTTTTACTATTGGCACACTTCCTCAGATCATTCTCTCCAAATGTTAAACGAATCAAAGGTCGCAAAAAGAGATCGCTTTTAGCGATAAGACCGCCTTTACCCACCACCAATATTGTTAACTTAATTCTAATAATAATGTGTGAGCAATAAAGCGTCTATCTTTCTATCTATTAGTATAGATTAAAGTTGGTAATAAATTAAAAAGAACGTGAAAATGCAATACAACACGAATATAATTTTAAAGTTTTTACATTGATTACCAATTTTGACCTGTATACATTTCATAACATACCTACTGAACCAATAAGTAATGTACATATAAATATTTTTTGCTGTGACTGGATCATTAGTCAACCGCCTCTTGCGGTGTGTGTAGGTATATTATGTGATGATGTATTCTCTCATCTTTTGGGTGTTCAATTACTCGAGAAATATAAAAACCTAACGCCTGATTGAACATTGTATGACTGACAAATTTATTACATACCAGCTGACCAGATAGACGTTGTCCTGACTTAATCATAGAGAATTTAAACATTACGTTTTAGTCTTAATTGTGTACCATCGCCATCGTTCATTAATTTCATTTCCATTTTTAACTGAATTCAAAAAAGGTTCCAATTCGATTGTATTTTTTTCTTTATGTTAACTCATAACTTTTAATTGGGTGGATCGATTTTGATGATTCTTTTTTTTTGTTTGGAAGCTAGTGCTTACCGTTTGGGTCCATTTTGGTCCTACGAGAAAACCATAAGTCTTAAATTTGCATTAAGTATGCGTGTTGTTTTACAGATCACAGATCACAATAAAGAGTTTTTGAGTTTTATTTAAAATCATCCTCTCTACATTATTTATTTTGTTTTACTTCTATTATTACCTATACATTTCGGTAATCTGATGATTTTACAATTAATTTGTTGGCTGATCAAATTTCAACGTACAATGAAAGGGCTAGCCGCCCCATTGGACGACCCATTTAACCATTTGGCTGCAATATATCTATACCAAATAATAAAGATAAAGTTTCTAACTTTGTTTGTAGGGGTAATCTTCGGAAATGCTGAACCGATAAAAAAAACTCTTTCCACTATGGGAAACTACATTAGCCTATAATTTACGCAGAGTTGCGGGATAACAGCTAGTGTGTTTTATGAAGTCTTTCAAACGGTCGCCGTAATCTCAAAATCAGTCGTTGACCCCTAAAGGATGTTGGTTTTGTACAGTCTCGCGGCAGAATTCTAAAAATGGCTAATAAGGTCCTTGGCCTTTGGTATTTCATTTGAATTTCGACTCTACCATGATACTATATGGTTTGCAGTCGTTTAATACAAAATATTTAGTGATTAATGTAAATCATAGACAAAAGACTTCATGTTTGTTCTGAACTTAAAAGTATAACAATAAAAAAATAAAATCTACTTTAAAAAAGTTAAATATAATTATTGGTGATTTTTTAAAAGTTCAGTCCAGTACTTTATGAGCCAATTCGATGCAAATAAACAATGTTTTAAATCAGTCCAGTAGTTTATGAGTCAATTCGATGCAAATAATGAAATCTTTCCTTTTTATATTATTAATATAAATATACGTACTCGTTCTAAATAATTGTTCTTATATACTATTAAAAGCACCCACAATAACTATGTTTTGAGTTCAGGACCTGACATCTCTTGAGGAGTTCGATGGCGCAGTGGTTAGCGCGCTCGGTCTGCGATATGGTTGTTAGCAACATTCACAAGGGCCAATCTTAGGATGGATTACAAAAAAAATATTAAATCGACTTCCTCCGAACTTCGAAAGGCACGTTAAGCATTTAATCTAGGCAGCATCACCGTTAACACCCACCAGTCCGCACTGGGCCGACGCGGTATGTCATGGCCCATTCTCTCTATTTGATTCGATTCCATTCACAGCGAAGGCCTGAGCCCGAGCTGTGGGGACATTATTAGGTTGATGATGATTAAGATCTAATATTGCTGTCCTCTCAATGATAGTTATCATGCCTTGTCATTACCATTAAAACCGCATAATTTGAAATATGAACGATGGTGATTATGGAAAGTTCAATGTTACTCAGTTTCGTATAATAATGAAATCATTCAGCACCCCAAAAGTAGTGGGCACGAAGATGTAAGGTCGACGAGAGTGCCATATGGCTTCTGACCTTAATTAAATCATAACCTCGGATGTGCGCGGGCGCCGGTCCTTTTGGCGGATTCGTGCAATTTCTGACTTTTATAAAACTATTGACCAATATTTATATATACATAGTACCTATAAATATTGTAGTAGCTCGGTGGCGTAGTGGATTAGCGCCGCGGCCCGTGATCGTAGTCGTTAAGCAACTTTCGCAAGGATCGGTCACGGGATGGGTGACCAAAAAATTATTATCTCGAGCTACTCCGTGCTTCGGAAGGCACGTTAAGCCGTTGGTCCCGGCTGCATTTGCAGTCGTTAATACCCTCCAATCCGCATTGGGCCAGTGTGGAGGGTCATGGCCCATCGTCCTTAACCATCCATAAGGAAGGCCTGAGCCCCTGCAGTGGGGACGTTAAAGGGCTGATGATGAGTACCTATAAAACAAAGTCGTTTCCTGCTGTCTTAAACGCTGCGGTCTCTTAAATTATACAACGGATTTCAATGTAGTTTTCATCCAATATATTTATAGAGTACTTCAAGAAGAAGTTTTATATGTATAATACAGGACCACGCAGACAAACCCGCTGGCGGAAAGCTAGCAATTAAAATTGAACATATAGATTCATCATGAAAGTTCTTTCATCGTCGTGCAATACGCGAGTGACACAGACTATAATAAACGCGGGTGAAGTCGCCGAAACAGCTTTATGAAGTAGTTTTTGAAGTGTAATCTAATTTTGAATATTACTTTGAAGAAATATTGGCAACCCTAACCAAGGGCCACAGACTTAATGTCCCGGGATTACCAAGTATATGGTATCCGCGATACGACCTTGTGTCACGCCTGTAAACTATTCCAAGTTACTATTATACAATCAAAGCAAACGCAAGTGCTAACTAACGAGCATAAAATTTTAACATCCGCTGAGATTACCTATTAAGATAAGTATTACATAGCTGTGATATTGATTTACTGCGAAGAAACATTTCATGTTATAAACTACATTAAATCTTATTCGTAGATAGCTTAAGTGATTATTGCATTTAGATACAGATTGGTCGAGTGGGAATAAAATATATAACGGCGGGTAGTCCGAATGGGCTATTACGAAGCCCAAATAGATCGTCCATATCGGAGGACTATCTTTAGAATAACACTGTAGGCGTGGTATACCAACGTGGATTTGTTCCATTTATCACTTTTCATACGAAAATATAACGAGATGAGCGTGATGTCATCGGATGTCTTTACTCCTCGGCGATCGGAAACAGAATGTCTGCCAAAATGGCGGCGGCAACTTGGTTTTTATAAACGAACTGTCAAAGTCAGTGTCACCATTCTAATAAAATTAAAAGTATCGATGATCACGCTCTCTTTACAATCGGGTAATTAAGTAATCGAGTAACTAGCAATTAAAATAAAAGAAACTAAATCAAACGATCTTCGTAATGATGA